CTGACGGCCAGGAAAGCGAAAATTCGTAAGTGGATAGATAGATAGATAGTTAGATAGATAGATAGATAGATAGATAGATAGATAGATAGATAGATAGATAGATAGATAGATAGATAGATAGATAGATAGATAGATAGATAGATAAATAGATAGATAGATAGATAGATAGATAGATAGATAGATAGATAGATAGATAGATAGATAGATAGATAGATAGATAGATAGATAGATAGATAGATAGATAGATTGATTGATTGATACGCTCAAAGTCATCGAAGTTTCCTCAAACATGCTTCGCATTTAAAAACAGCGGTATTGGGCCCAAGCGAACGTTGCATGCACACCGCTCTAAAGCCTGGTTCACATGCGAGTGATCTTGCTCCAAGAACGGAGTGGCAGCCACCGCGCGAGGCCAAAACAGGTTTCTACAGCGACAACTAATCGCTGCAAGGAAATTCGCCAGAGACTTCGCTCCCGACCGTAGCTCAGAGTGACCAGTGACGTCGTTTCACACGTGATGCCAGGGGTGGAGTCGAGGATTGGATTTGAGCGCTGCTGGAACCTCGCTCCACAGAACTCGCTCCGACTGAGTAGCAGACGAAACCCCTCCTCTTCCCGGCTCACCAATGTCTCGCGCTGCTTTCAACGAGTTGTTTATTGCAGAAATTGTGAAACGACCTGTTCTTTGGGACGTCAAGATGGAAAATTTCCGTAAGAAGGATAAAAAAGCATTCTTTGGTTAGAAATTGCTGAGTTCCTTAAGAAGTCGCATACTTCCGTAAAGTAAATGTCGTCGCATGAACTGGTCATGTTGACTGATGAAGTCGACGTGGCATTGTTTTCTTTTCGTTGCTCTCGACGATGGTTTCACCGGAGTGACAACTGTGTGCGGTGCTTTTTTATTTCAATAATAATATTACTACCTTCTTTCTTTATTTTTTGCATTTTAATTCTATGTTACTCCCACGTAGCCGCATGGAACGTCTTACTTCTACGCCGCAGCAAATGTTGCTGGTTTAACAAACAATGAAATTAGGTGACAAGGTGCATAGATGAAAGGGTTCACACAAACGAGAGAGCAAGGATGGGTGTTTTTTGCTACGGGACGTAGCATTCCACACAAGTCACTGAAAAGGAATTTCGTGATGTGACTGAACAAGGAAGGGGCGCGAGGCTTCCTGTCACGGTTCGGGGAAATAAGGCGTTTACCGGGGGCCTTTATTTTTGTTCTCTCCTTCAACAACACCTCAATTTCTCCCTGAAACCCAGGCTCATTTGTCCGCGCCCTCTGCGACGCTTTTCACGCAAGGAACAATTCCGCAGTTCAATTTTGCACGCAAGCACAATTCCGCACGCAAGGAACAACTTTGCAGCAAGTTTGCAGGCTGTCGATCGAGGTCCTGCCACACTGGTCAGCTGCTCTCCGTGACACTCAGTACCGGAATGCGTGGTTGGCTTGGCGAAAATAAATGTTAGGTCACGAGCACAACATACACTGCTTAGATAACAAAGAACAGCTATTCATTACAGGCATCAGTGCAGCAACACCTGCCTCAGGGGCATGCACCTAAATTACAAGGTGTGTTGTGTGAAATGATGTAATACTTCGGCCTTTCTGCTCACCACCACAGCATTTATGGACGGAAAGTCCTGCTAAAGCAAGAATCGCTGCGTTGTCCTTGACCTGGGTCACGCACAAGTGCATATACAACAGCCAAAGAACAGGGACGTACAACGAGCGTATCACGTATACCATGCTACCTGCCGTTGGTGAAACTTTTCCTGAAGTGATTTACTGCATCATTGAAAAACCTAAGAGGCTTACTATTTAGGATGGAAGCACACAAATTCGAGTGCCACAAGAAATGTAGACCATTCGAAAAATCTCGTTGAAGAGTGTGTTCGCATGATGACTGATGATTGATATGTGGGGTTTAACGTCCCGAAACAACCACATGATTATGAGAGACGCCGTAGTGAAGGGCTTCAGAAATTTCGACTACGCAGGGGCTTTTTAACGTGCACCCAAATCTGAGTACACGGGCCTACAACATTTCTGCCTGCATCAAAAATGCATCCGCTGCAACCGTGATTTGATCCCTCCACCTGCGGGTCAACAGCCGAGTACCTTAGTCACTAGACCACCTTGGCGGGACAGTGTGTTCGCATATGCCACAGGGTGACCACAAACACGGCCGAAGCTGATCACTGAGAGTTTTTATATAAACATTTACTTCGATTTGAGCGAACTGGTATAAAAACTTACGTATGAGTTTTACGAGGTGCGTATAGCTGACAGAAACCTCGTTCGGCGTGTCAATGTTAAATCATGAAGAAAGAGCGATGAATCGGAGAAACACGGGAAGTGCTGAGAAAAACAAAGCACGCTCGTAGTTCTTATGCAGCTGGAACAGCTCTCTAATAAAACCATGTCAGCGAACTATATATTTTGCTTCTCCGTGGTCACTTATATAAGGACGCAACAAGAACATTTAGTTTAAAAACCAAAACAAAACAAGAAGCATCTTCAAATGCTGTTTATTTGTGATATGATTCACGTTACCCTTAGTTCAATCAGTGTACATACGCTTGAAAGTCGAGGGGCTATTGATGATAAACCTCGCAGCAGAGGGGTGCCAAAAAGGACACTTGAAGGAGAGCGTGGTTTTTTGATACCACTGAAAACAGCGGTTAACCCGTGCCTTCCGCGGGCAACGCTGCCCGCCAAAGCAGCTGGCGTCGCCGCAACAGCAGCGGTAGCAGCGGCGCATTTGCAATGAACGCAGGTCTGCGTGTTTTCGCGCCGCTCAACGCCGCTGCTCGGTCGCTCGCATGTGAAACAGGCTTAACGCTCACGGAAAAAAATCTGAGTTCACACGCGACATGGGCTTTTACAACGCTTGAGAACTAGTGTTTGTCTTCTCTGCTACTTGAAGAGTAACTGCATGTAGACAGGCAAAAGATGAGCACACTCACTTTTACCCGAACGTGCGTGGCTGCCGCTCCAAGCACACGCACGTTGCACAAGCACTCGTGTTTTGCGAGTACGCCACACACGCAAAAAAAAAAAACTAAATTGGCATACCAAAGAGCAGGCTCGCTCAACCAAGGCGAAATAGACACCAAGAAATATCTAAGAAGCACGTACAATGGTACAAATGCCTCGGCTCCTTTTCTCTAAGCGCGGTCGGCGGCGGCGGTCATACACGAAACGGCCTCTTTTCTACTCTCTCTCTCTCTCGTGCAGAGGTCGCCGAAGGGGCGGCGCCCTGCCACAAGATGTACGGTAATCAACAAAGAGCACTGGAAATTTCACTTGCTTTTTTTTCTCGCCACTCGTACTCTCCGCTCACTCATTACCAGCGTATTCCCCGCCTTGTGCGTTTTACGCCAACAGGTCGTCAAAATTTACAAAGAGATGCCTGTCAAAATGATGGCTCGTTTTAAGAGTAGATGTATGTTTTCTCTAGTATAAACACACGACAGAATAATGACGTGTCGTTATTGTGCCTCATTTATGTGCATGATTTGTTTTTATTTCAGCAATCTCAGAAGTGTAAACGCAGAAATCACAGCAATATTGGTCAGAGAGAAAGACGACATTTTCGCATCGAAGTCACCCAAGAAACACCATCGTCTTTAAAAGCGATTGCTCACGCTTCACCATCGTTCACTGGTCGCCCCGTACATATAGACACTGCATCTTAAGCTACTACATCGGCGTACTCATAAAGAGACGTGTTAGTTTTGTGCTATATTTTTTCCCAACACGGAGGGATCAATCATGATTATTTTTTTCAAAAAGGTTTTTATTTGTTAGTATGCTATATTTCAGGAAAAGTTCACTACAGTTCATGAAAAGTGGTGACATATTCTAAAGTAATATAACTTTTGTAGGGAAAATTGGGCTTTTTATTACAGTGTAGCATCCGCCCTACAACACACTGGCCAAACAGCTTCAGTGGGTAGGTGGAAATGATGCCTAAATCATCGCCATCACTTCAAAAAACGCCATCGTCGTCAGCAGTAGTTGGTTGGTTGGTTCTTGAACATCATCACTAGTAAATGTGGTCTAGTTTGACTTTCATGCTTCTTTTTCTCTTAATGAGTTGAATCACTAGGCCTGACGCATCCATATTTGTTCATTTTTTTTAGACCACAAAACACTGATTGCGAAATCGGATAATCACATCATGATCGCCAGTCTTTGTTTTCTTTACACTACGGTGATGATGTCAGGAGGCCTTTTGGAACGTTCTAACAGGACAGCGTACTTTGGCAATACGCCGAGTGCTTCTTGCACAATACAAGTCGACTTTTCTTTTCGTCTGGTTAAATATTTGCCGGTGCTTGTGGTACGTACTTCACACGTCAGCGAAGCACAGGAAAAAGCACTGAACGCGCGAGCAAGCTTCAATCATCAGGGAAGCTCTATCGCTGTCACAAGCTCTCAGGCGTGGCGTGTCATCGAGGGGCGCCAGAACCTCGTCACCGAGGCGCCCCTACCGCTGCATCACAAGCCGATGAGCTCCGCATTATATAAAAAAGAAGCTGTGCGTTGCGCTGTCACGGAAACGTTATAGCATGAAGCAACCGACTCATGACTGCATTTGTTTCTGTCTACGCAGTATTGGCAACCCCATGAAGAGAAAGCAGGTGAGCCAAACCTTGTATACATCTGTGAAAAGCAAGTACACGATCATTCTTCGATATATTAGCTAAGTACTTATTCGTGAGCTAATACCGTTGGTTTGCTCGGTATGTACTCTGCAAGTGCTCGTGAATTGCTTCTATAGAACATTCAGGCACTGATTTTGTCGGGACATGAAAAGCCTAAACAAGCTCGAGACCATTTCTGACGCGTTGCACATTGTTAGAAGCAATAGTCGAAGATGGGCATACTTACAGTGATTCAACCCCATTCTTCACGAGCTACGTCAAGTAATGGCAGTAATGTCTTCAATGAGATAATGCTCGTTGTGTCAACTTTCCAGGCATTGAGTGGTGTACTCAAGAGGCCGGTCCAAATGACTCGTTCTTAACCCTGGCGCACACGTGTACCAATAATGGAGAATCTCCACGTCACCAATAGCAGCGACAACTTGGTGTCCGTGCGGAGTGACGCTTTGTCGAGGCTCTTCAGCATCTTTCTCTCGGTGCACCGGCACTCGGGAGACATCAATACGCCCGACAAGCAATGGCTATTGGAGGACCCGAATAACACGCTCGGGTAAGTACTGCGCCCTAATACATGGTGCGAGCCTCTGAGCTCAAGGCTTATTATTTCTTGAGAAATCTCTGAGAGGGTGTTAAATATTGACAGCCCTTGCCTATATAGCTTGTAGCTTCTCGTCACTACAGCGTCGTTCTATCGTGTCAGCATAAGTCACGTTCAGTCTTTCAGTCTTTTATTGAAGCACTGTCGTCCGCTAATCACGGCGCCGAAAAATGAAGCGCAATATATCACACCCAAAAAAATAGCGAAAAACCAACAGTCCACGTGTGATGGCACGGCAATGTAAGAATAAGAACTTTCGAAAGCAAGGCTACTTTGAAACCGGGGATAAATATTTAGGCGCACTTATTATAAACAGAGAAGACAAAATGCGGTGAATGCCGGCGTACATATTCTTATCCTTGAGTAACTATTTGTTGCTTCAAAGTGTTTGTATACCTAAATATAACAACTGACAGCTGAATTTAACTGTAAATTTTGTATGGCATCTTAGACTTATCTAGCTTGCTAACAATACTTCACACCAGCGTTATCAGACGTAATTCTCTAAACTAAAAACTGCATGTACGCACATAGGCGCCTCAAGCCTTATGACCTCCAACATCAAGTGTGCTAGCCTAATTTGTATAGAACACTAATTAGCTGACGTGTGCCAAATTTTGTGCACTGTGTGGCTATCACTTACGTTTTCTACTTTATCTAAACAATCACAAGAACTGTACAGTGGCATTGTGCCCCCGGAGACCACAACATACCTAAAAAAGTGTACATTTTAACGCATATTATAAGAACTATCTCGCTGTGAAGTTTTCCGTGCCTCTTTTAGATATTATCACAATAAACTACTGGGACAGGCATAATCTTGCACTTTACGAAAAATAAGTTAGATATCCTGCAAAAAACTCTGATTCACTGTGGGTAAACCTCAATTGCTCTTCAATTATATGTTGAATTTACTAGTGTGAGCGCTGCACAGCTACGGCGTGTAACAAGCGGCGATGACTCGTCGTTTTATGATGAAAATAGTGGCACCACTTCGAGAGTAGTGGCTGCGTGGGTTTCAAGATTAGGTTCCACATGGTGCAAGGCGGTAGTGCCACCCTCAGGCGAGAAATTGCACTTTCCCTCATCCGAAAGCTGTTATAAGATTTAAGTTGAAATTATTCAATGAAGCCACCATACTTGCAAAGCAAAAGCTAAAGAACATTTTCATAATTTCGAATTGAATGATCACATGTTGGGCGTCTCCTCAGATAATAATATGTAAACTTTAACATCCCAAAATCTTCATATGACTATGAGACGCTTTAGTGAATAACTCCAAAATTTCAACCATCTGGTGTTATTTAACCTGCACAAACAGCGCACAGTACACGCACCTCTACCATTTCGCCACAATCAAAATGCGTAAGCCGCGCCCGTCGGGTGAGCAGCTGAGAACCTTTGCCCCTGCTCCAATGAGGTGGGCTCACCTCAAAAAGTATATATCTCCTCAGTAGCCTGCGTTTCTTAAAGGAATGCCCAATTTAAAAGATTACTGATATTGTGGTTGAAACGTTTGTGATGTGATGGTGGCAATTCTTCTCCAATGGTAGTGGCAAGTGCTCACGTAGATGGCGTAGCGAAATTGTTCTATACTTGCTCTTGTTGATGCATTTCCCCGAGAGAACTGTTGGCGATCCTGGGCCAACGCCGACACCGGAACTTTGGCGCATCCTATTTCTGCAGTTACGCCGTCCAGCTACTTTAATAGAACAACACCTATAGAGCTTTGGCGCACTTGTTCTGCGGTGGTGGCGATAAGTTGTTGCGGAGGAGGAACGAAATTATCCAATACTTGCATCTTTTGTTATTCTCTGGAAGCATTGTCGACGATTCTGGACCAACGCCGACACGACAACTTTTGCACATCCATTTTTTTTGCGTGTCATCCAGCCAGTTTAGTGAAACAACACCCACTCAGCTCTGGCGCATTCATGTTGCTGTTGTGGCGGCAAGTGGTCACGCAAAATGAGTAACAAAGTTGTTCATTATTTGCAGTTCTTGCTAATATTTTCAGGAAGCAATTTCTACAATCCTGTGCCAACGCCAGGCTAGGAATTTCGCGCATTAATTTTTTGCAGTAACGTCGTCCGGCCAATTTAATTGAACAACATGCACCAGGCTTCGACGCCGATTTCCTTCCGTGGTGGCGGCAAGATGTCCCGCAGACGGAGTAACGAAATTGTTCAATAATTGCACATATTGTTACTATTCTCAGTGCCCACAAAGTGTAGATAGCACGCTGTACGATTCTAGGTGGCGCCCGGAGCAGTGTCAACCCGTTTGTTGGCATTGTAACAAATACGGCGTGGGGACATGTGAACAGTGCCACTTTCACGGGATAAAGCCATGGGCTACACTTAAATGTATTTGAGACCAAGATACTCTTTGACACCATGGAAACTCACCACCAGAATATTTTCCCCTGTAACAAAGGTTATATTTCCGTTTTGTTCCGTGCATGAACGACGCTTTGCGAAATCCTGTGCGTGCTACTGAAACGGCACGAACTAGAATTCACGTATGACCTGAACGGCACTTCTAGGTAGTATGTACAAAGTCTGTCTGACGAATTTGCCGCAGTATGGTATAGGCCACTATCGACTTCGACTATCGTGGCTACACGGTACCAGATATTCAACATGGCGATGGTTTGCAGACATATTACGCCTTCTTCATTACTTGCTTCCTCAGGAACATGCAGTTGCTTCTTGAATGCAACACAAACATTTAACACCCCTTGAAGTGGCGCACGTGTCACAGCCGCGCACTCTTGCCATGCGCTATTCACGGCACTCATATGTTGTTGATTCTCTAACCGCGATCGAAACATGAATATCGGAGAGAGTACACACAGTATACTTTTCACAACGTCAAAATTGCAAAAGTGCTTCTAACAACAGCGTTGTTGCGAAGGTACCGATGAAGTACAGAAGAAGTTGGCAGAGAGGCAAGAATAGAAGTCGTAACTGCGAGCTTCATCGCTCTTGCCAGTTCGCTTCGCTTGTCGAGCTCGAGTGAGTTGGCGGCATGCTGTAATTCATATTATCCACCGTATTTGGGCAACATGGAAAGCACAAGAGAAACTGCACTTTTATGTCAATTTTGCTGAATGAATAAGACATAATAAATACAATCAAATTGACTCACGAGGATAAAGAAACAGTAACGCGCGAGCAGACGTAAAGTGCAAGTCGCTACTCGTGAGTTATAAGCTCATCGTTCGTCGTCGTCGTCGTCTCCCTCGGTGCGTTGACAGCCTTTTCCGTTCGGTGAAAACTCCTCGTCGGCAAGATGGCTTCTTTCAACATCACTGCTTAAAACAATATGAGCCAATTCGTCCTGCGATTGGCCTCTACAGCGCACACACCGAGTCACTGGCCCCGTTCATGTAGGCTCGAATAATATTTCAGTTTGAGACCCGTCAACAAAGAAACGTTTGCAGTGTGCTGAAATCAATCAATCAATCAATCAATCAATTTATTTCCTTCAGGTAAGGTGGAGAACTGGACTAAAGCTCAAGAACTTGACGAGGTCCTGACCCCGTTCACAAGTTGACCAAGCAGCAGGAGTGGCAGTCAATCATGCACAACGAATATGAAATAAACATATAGGTATAACATCACAAAAAACAAATACAAAACGTTTATAAAAACAGTGCTAAGATAAAAAGAAAGTTCAAATGTATGGTCATGAAGTGACGTGAATATGAAAAGCAATAATAAAAAGAAAAGAATGGGCACAAATTCTTACGGATGTATCATTGAGGATAATGTATCAGTTGGGCGAAGTGTTTATACTATAATGTAAATGCAAGGTAAACAGCGGTAGCGGCGTCGGTACCGAAGCAGCAAGAGCAGGCCGAGTATACGGGCAGCGTCGCAGCAGCAATCAGGCAGTCCTAGCTCGTGCCTCGCGCCCACGTGTCGATGTCGCTGCAGTAGTGGGCATTCCTCTTCACTACACTTCGTCCCCCGTCGGAAAAGGAGCCATCCTGGCGACTCACGGTGAACGGAGTACGAGCGAGTCGTAATAAGGTTTCAGCCGCTGTACGTGAACAATTTCACGTCCCCGAAAGCGCTGGTCTGTGGATGGCGTAACGGGTTCGACGATGTAGTTAACTGGTGAAGTCTGCGAGACAATGCGGTAGGGTCCCTGGTATTTTGAAAAAAACTTCGAGAAAAGCCTTGTAGGCACAGCGGGAACCCAAAGCCACACAAGAGTGTCCGGAACAAAGTTGGGGTACGGGTGGTTATCGTCACGCCGAGATAGTTGTCTCCATTGGTCGATGGTTGTCAATGACTGGGCGAGCTTACGGCATTCCTCGGCGCGGCGGGCAGCTTCAGAGATGGGCGTAGACTCGGAGGAATCGGGGTGGTAGGGCAGAATGGTATCTAGTGTGGTGGAAGGGTTTCGGCCATATAACAGGAAAAATGGTGAAAAGCCCGTAGTCGCTTGTGGAGCAGTATTGTAGGCGTATGTCACAAAAGGCAGAATGAGGTCCCAGTCGGAGTGGTCTGAGGCAACATACTTTGATATCATATCCCCTAGGGTACGGTTGAATCTTTCCGTCAATCCATTCGTCTGCGGATGGTAGGCGGTGGTAGTCCGGTGAATAATACGGCATTCGGCAAGGAGTGCGTTGACGACTTCAGAGAGGAACACACGTCCTCTGTCGCTGAGAAGTTCGCGCGGTGCGCCGTGACGGAGAATGAAGTGCCGCAAGAGAAAAGAAGATACGTCGCGTGCTGTGGTAGCAGGCAAAGCGGCTGTTTCTGTGTATCGCGTCAGATAGTCGACAGCGACAACAATCCAACGGTGTCCGAAAGCCGTAAATGGAAGAGGCCCGTACAGAGCGATCCCAATGCGGTCAAAAGGCCTGGCTGGGCAAGGAATTGGCTGGATCGGACAAGAGGTGTGATGAGGCAGAACTTTCCGTCGTTGGCACTGCG